CTGGTGCAGCAGTGGTGAAGCAGTGTCTGGTGCAGCAGTGGTGAAGCAGTGTCTGGTGCAGCAGTGGTGAAGCAGTGTCTGGTGCAGCAGTGGTGAAGCAGTGTCTGGTGCACATGGGAAGCAGTGCGTGCAGCAGTGGAAGCAGTGTCTGGTGCAGCAGTGGTGAAGCAGTGTCTGGTGCAGCAGTGGTGAAGCAGTTCTGGTGCAGCAGTGGTGAAGCAGTTTGGTGCCTGGTGAGCAGTCGTGCAGAGTGGTGAAGCAGTGTCTGGTGCAGCAGTGGTGAAGCAGTGTCTGGTGCAGCAGTGGTGAAGCAGTGTCTGGTGCAGCAGTGGTGAAGCAGTGTCTGGTGCAGCAGTGGTGAAGCAGTGTCTGGTGCAGCAGTGGTGAAGCAGTGTCTGGTGCAGCAGTGGTGAAGCAGTGTCTGGTGCAGCAGTGGTGAAGCAGTGTCTGGTGCAGCAGTGGTGAAGCAGTGTCTGGTGCGCAGGGTAACAGTGTTGGTGAAGCAGTGTGAAGCGTGTCTGTGCAGCAGTGGTGAAGCAGAGTGTCTGGTACAGCAGTGGTGAAGCAGTGTCTGGTGCAGCAGTGGTGAAGCAGTGTCTGGTGCAGCAGTGGTGAAGCAGTGTCTGGTGCAGCAGTGGTGAAGCAGTGTCTGGTGCAGCAGTGGTGAAGCAGTGTCTGGTGCAGCAGTGGTGAAGCAGTGTCTGGTGCAGCAGTGGTGAAGCAGTGTCTGTGCAGCAGTGGTGAAGCAGTGTCTGGTTCAGCAGTGGTGAAGCAGTGTCTGGTGCAGCAGTGGTGAAGCAGTGTCTGGTGCAGCAGTGGTGAAGCAGAGTGTCTGGTGCAGCAGTGGTGAAGCAGTGTCTGGTGCAGCAGTGGTGAAGCAGTGTCTGGTGCAGCAGTGGTGAAGCAGAGTGTCTGGTGCATCAGTGGTGAAGCAGTGTCTGGTGCAGCAGTGGTGAAGCAGTGTCTGGTGCAGCAGTGGTGAAGCAGTGTCTGGTGCAGCAGTGGTGAAGCAGTGTCTGGTGCAGCAGTGGTGAAGCAGTGTCTGGTGCAGCAGTGGTGAAGCAGTGTCTGGTGCAGCAGTGGTGAAGCAGTGTCTGGTGCAGCAGTGGTGAAGCAGTGTCTGGTGCAGCAGTGGTGAAGCAGTGTCTGGTGCAGCAGTGGTGAAGCAGTGTCTGGTGCAGCAGTGGTGAAGCAGTGTCTGGTGCAGCAGTGGTGAAGCAGTGTCTGGTGCAGCAGTGTCTGGTGCAGCAGTGGTGCAGCAGTGTCTGGTGCAGCAGTGGTGAAGCAGTGTCTGGTGCAGCAGTGGTGCAGCAGTGGTGCAGCAGTGGTGCAGCAGGACGTGTTGGGTCAACACAGACCTGCTGATTATTTTCACATTTCTCAGGAAGGAAGGTACAACAATGGAAAGATGGAACTTAGTTCATGTACAGGAGACAGTGGGTCGAGGTTTCACTGAAATAATGAAACGGAAAATTCATGAAACGGTGTACCAGTGAAACAGTGATCACATTAGGTTAAACCTGAACCCTTGATACAGTGAAGCCTTGACACTGAACCCTTGACACAGTGAAGCCTTAACACTGAACCCTTGAAACCGAACCCTTGAAACTGAACTGTCGATACAGTGAACATTTTACACTGAACCCTTGACACTGAACCCTTGACACTGGACCCTTGACACTGAACTCTTGACACTGAACTCTTGACACTGAACCCTTGACACTGAACTCTTGACACTGAACTCTTGACACTGAACCCTTGACACTGAACCCTTGACACTGAACTCTTGACACTGAACCCTTGACACTGAACCCTTGACACTGAACTCTTGACACTGAACCCTTGACACTGAACGCCTTGAGCTTGAAGCGCCTGATCCTGATCTTACTTAATTCCCCGTTACGCTGTTTGATACATTCTTTTACAAGTATCTTTCCTTTGAGCATGACCTCTATCTTCCCATCTTACCTACAAACTGGCATTGTGCCTGATAAGTGAAAAATGGCAAATGTAATACCTATTTACAAGGCAGGTGACAGGTCCTTGGCTTCGAACTATAGACCAATAAGCCTTACCTCCATAGTGGGAAAATTTATGGAATCAATAATTGCCGAAGCAATTCGTAGCCATCTTGACAGGTACAGATTGATTAATAAATCTCCACACGGTTTTACAAAGGGGCGTTCCTGTCTTACGAATTTACTAACTTTTTTCACTAAGGTGTTTGAGGAGGTAGATCATGGTAATGAATATGATATTGTGTATATGGACTTCAGTAAGGCTTTCGATAGAGTTCCACACCAGTGGCTATTGAGGAAACTTAAGGCACACGGAATAGGAGGAGAATTTTTTTCCTGGGTAGAGGCATGGCTGACAAATAGAAAGCAGAGAGTTTGCATAAATGGGGAGAAATCAGAATGGTGGCACGTCACAAGCGGTGTTCCTCAGGGGTCAGTGTTGGGCCCGTTGTTGTTCACAATTTACATAAACGACATAGATGAGGGAATAAATAAGGACATAAGCAAATTTGCTGATGACACCAAAATAGGCCGTCCAATTCATTCTAATGAGGACACTAGAGCACTCCAGGATGATTTGAATAGACTGATGCAATGGTCTGAGAAGTGGCAGATGCAGTTTAATATTGACAAATGCAAAGTTCTAAATGTTGGACAGGTAAATAACTATGCCACATATAAACTAAATGATGTAGATCTTAATACTACTGATTGCGAAAAGGATTTAGTAGTTCTGGTTAGCAGTAATTTAAAACCAAGACAACAGTGCATTAGTGTTCGCAATAAACCTAACAGAATTCTTGGCTTCATATCTAGAAGTATAAATAATAGAAGTCCTCAGGTTGTTCTTCAACTCTATACATCCTTGGTTAGGCCTCATTTAGACTATACTGCTCAGTTCTGGTCACCGTGTTACAGAATAGATATAAATGCTCTGGAAAACGTACAGAGGGGAATGACAAAGATGATCCCATGTAACAGAAATCTTCCCTATGAGGATAGACTGAGGGCCCTGAATCTACACTCTCTTGAAAGGCGTAGAATTAGGGAGGATATGATCGAGGTGTATAAATGGAAAACAGGAATAAATAAAGGGGATGTAAATAGCGTGCTGAAAATTTCCAGCCAAGACAGGACTCGCAGCAATGGTTTCAAGTTGGAAAAATTCAGATTCAGAAAGGATATAGGAAAGCACTGGTTTAGTAATAGAGTTGTGGATGAGTGGAACAAACTCCCGAGTACAGTTATTCAGGCTAAAACGTTGTGTAGTTTTAAAAATAGGTTAGATAAATACATGAGTGGGTGTGGTTGGGTGTGAGTTGGACCTGACTAGCTTGTGCTGCTGGGTCTGGTGCCGTGCTCCATCCTTGAGTGGAGATGATCAGACTGGGTGGGTCATTGGGCTAATCCGGGGGGGATGATCATTGGTCTAATCCGGGGGGACATGGACCTGCTCCGCATGGGTCAGTAGGCCTGTTGCAGTGTTCCTTCTTTCTTATGTTTGCTGTCCAGGATGTGTGTCGTCTGCACGTCTCAGTGTATACATGCTGAGAGTACTCTTCGGTTCAAATTATAGGGATTCCAGTATATTTGGCTTGACCCTCGTGTAGTCGACAGGCTTCAAACCCCATTACCTTATCAACATAGCTCAAGCCGCTGAGCTGATGCTTGTCAGTTATGAATTCTGTTATTGGGCTTGTAACAATACGGGGAAAAAATGGTATGTCAATATATTCTCAGACTACTTTACCAACAATACCATCAATAACAATATTAAAAGTAACAATACTAAAGGTAATAATACCAACAGTAACAATACCAAAAGTAACAATACCAATGGTAATAATACCAACGGTAATAATACCAAGAGTTACAATACCAACAGTAACAATACCAACAGTAACAATACCAACAGTGGTCCAGTGTACCTAAATAAATGAAAGCTTGAATGGTACAAGTATTAAGGTCTCACCAGAAAGAAAAGCTAAGGATAACATAATATTTTTTTTTTTTATTATTTAACTGTCTTAATGAAAGTGACGACAACTTGAGCAGATGTAAGTTCTCTCTCCTCTCGTCAAATTAGCAAAACTTGCAGATGTAAGTTCTCTCTCCTCTCGTCAAGTTAGCAAAACTTGCAGATGTAAGTTCTCTCTCCTCTCGTCAAGTTAGCAAAACTTGCAGATGTAAGTTCTCTCTCCTCTCGTCAAGTTAGCAAAACTTGCAGATGTAAGTTCTCTCTCCTCTCGTCAAGTTAGCAAAACTTGCAGATGTAAGTTCTCTCTCCTCTCGTCAAGTTAGCAAAACTTGCAGATGTAAGTTCTCTCTCCTCTCGTCAAGTTAGCAAAACTTGCAGATGTAAGTTCTCTCTCCTCTCGTCAAGTAAGCAAAACTTACAACAAACAATTGTTAGAAGATATATATCTGATATTCAAACTAGAGTGAAAATGGTTCACATGCCTGTGAGAGAATATACAATGATATATTATTTATTAAGGGATGGACCGGTTAGCCAGCTGAAAGCTTCAATCACATGACCAAAAGCTCCAGCTGAGAGTCATATAACTAAAACTCGCGTCATGCTCAAAAGAGTATGTTTTTACACCCATAATATCAAAACACAAACGTACTGGTAACTTTTATGTACTTGCACAATGTCAAAATAGGTCTCTGTTATTTACTTTAAAGCCTGAAGGCGTAACTATGTAAGATTAATGAAAATTATGAACAGGCAGAATTACGCACAACCATTCCCACCGTCATGCACGCTAGAGTCAAGCTTCCAGAATGACTCAGTTCTGTAGGTACTTTAATTTTAATGGATGTTCATGTTCGAGGTACCTATTTAAGCTATGGGAATGTGTCGATGAATACCATGGACATGACAACAATAACAGTGGTAACAGTAAGAGTATAAACATTAACAATACAAAGAGTAACAATATCAATACTAATAACCAGTGATCTCCGCCTGTGTTACAGATTTGGCAAGATGATATGGTTGAGGGTGGTAGCGTTGGTGTCGTTGTGGTGCGCACTTACCTCCGCACAGAGTATACAGGTGAGTCATGCGCTCCGTTGACGCCCAGAGATGAAGCTCTGGCAATACCTGTCTGTGTTGAAGCCGGCCACGGGAACACTGTCATGTATTGCATCCGGTTAACGTTTGTGTTCTGTAGGATGACACTTGTTTATCTGCTTCTTAATTATAGATTGTTGTGTTAGTTAACGCAGCAGCACAGATTGTGTTAGCTAACGCAACAGTATACAGTTGTGTTAACGCAACAGTATAGACTGTTGTGTTAGCTAACACAATAAACATGATCCAAGCAAGGGGACAACAGCTCCAAATTCCATGGAACAGTGAGTCCTTCACCGGCATTCTGCATGAAGTTTGCCTCAGTTGATTCATACTTGGATGTGAAGGCAGTGAAGGGCTCTTGATTCAAGGAATTGGAACTATTTTCCCTTTCTGTGGATTGAATCTGATTGCCTCAGATGCTGCGCTTCTCTGCGCTTTAAAACGCGTCAATGAAATCTTTCCTTGACATTGGTCCTTACTTTTCTTGCAGGAGTTGCAGGCGTTGTTTGAGCAGGCAGTGTTGGGAACCACTTCAGGTACCCAAAAACCAGCTGCTGCAGGCTCTAGCAGCTCTACGGGACAGCTTCCAGGCTCTGGTGGCTCCACGGAACCGGTTCCAGGCTCCGTTGGGTCAGTTGGGCAGTTACCAAGCTCTGATGGGTCAGGACAGTTTGCAAGTCCCGGTGGGCCTTCTGGACAATTCCCAGGCTCTGGTGGGTTTGGTGGACAGTTTCCAGGATCCGGCGGGTCGTCTGGACAAATCCCAGGCTCTGGAAACCAGTTTACCGGGAGTCAGTTTCCAGGCACGGGTGGATTTGGAGGGCAGTTTCCAGGCTCTGGTCGACCCGGAAACCAGTTCCCCGGTAATCAATTTCCAGGCTCTGGTCGACCTGTAAGTCAATTTCCCGGAAGTCAGTTTCCAGGTTCAGCCGGATTTGGAGGGCAGTTCCCTGGAAATCAATTTCCAGGTTCTGGTAGACCTATAAGTCAATTTCCCGGAAGCCAATTTCCGGACTCAGGTGGATTTGGAGGGCAGTTCCCTGGAAATCAATTTCCAGGATCTGGTGGATTTGGAGGGCAGTTTCCCGGGGGCCATTTCCCACCACACAGACCTGGAAGACCTTTTCCCGGTAGGCCAGGAGGAGGAGGACTGGAACAAGGAGCACTGACTGGAGGAGGGCAGGGTTGTGGGTTCTTCTGCAGACTACCTAACGGTCGATATGCGCCCTGCTGTTGACGCCAGTGGATGTAATTACAAAAATATTGCTTCTAATTCTTTTCATCCAATAAAAGCAGGGAAATGCTTTTGTTTCTTCACCTATATTTTCATTTATATATATACAGTATATGATCATATAAACGTCGGCACGACATATATATGTGTCGTGCCGAAAAGGTAAAATTTGCGATTTTGGCTTAAATAGCAACGTTTTCTTGCCGAATAAGGCAAGCGAAAATTTATGTATGCAATAATTTTGTAAAAACCATTCTGTACCTAACGAAAGAAAATATATTTCATTATGTTTATTTATTATTAAATTATTTTCAATTTTTCTAAATTATATTTAGTTGGATTAGCTAAATTAAATTGCGCTTGTTATAATAAGGCTAGGTAAGTTTTGGTACGAAATTATTAATTTTTACATTAACATAAATGAAAATATATATCTTTAAACATATAAGAGAAAATTTTAGAAAGGTCTTAGTTTTAAATGAGTTGTTGCTGACCAATTTTACCTTTTCGGCACGACCAGTTTGTCCCACTGGGACAAACTGGTCATGGAAAAAATCGCCAACACAATGCTCACTAACGCTTCAGGAAAGGACCAAACTCATCTCCTGGCGGTGAAGGCACCACACTCAGATTTCCTTCTAGCAGTTCCCAATTCCTCCTTGGGTACTCGACCCAACCCACAAGCCATTCGGATTGGTGTTGCACTTCGCCTAGCCGCCCCCATCCTCACCGAACATACGTGTATTTGCAGCAGGGCAACGGCTGATCAATTCGGACTTCATGGTCTCGTGTGTCACACATCAGAAGAGAAGTATGCCAGACATGAGGAGGTCAATGACATCATGAGGAGAAGCCTCGCCACAGCCCGTTGCCCAGCTCAACGGGAACCCTAAGTGCAGAGGTCTGATGGAAATCAAAAGCGTCCTGATGGAGCCACTATGCTATCCTGGAAGGATGGGAAGCAGATTGCTTGGGACTAAACCTGTGCCGCCACAATGGCAGACACCTACTTGCCATACTCGGTAGCTGATGGGGGTGGAGCTGCCAGCCACAGGGAGACACAGAAGACTCGCAGATATGAAGGCCTTCCCCCTTACTATAACTTCATCCCAATAGGGTCGCAGACCCTTGGAGCACGGGCAAGTATGCTCTAAAGTTCCTCAAAGAGCTGGGTGAAAAACTCATCATGGAAACCAAGGACTACAGGGCGGCCAGCTTTCTCTTTCAGAGACGCAGTGTTGGGATCCAGAGGGAAAGTGCCTTCAGTGACCCACTGCCGGGGAGCTGGACGAAGTATTCGAGATGTGGCTCTGAGTTGTTATCTATGCTGTCCTACTCCCTGTTGCATTTTTGTCAAAGACCTCTCACCAGCGTTAAGGAACCTCCCTTAGGGAAGCTGGTATAATACAAGTAGTATACATGTTTATTACGTACCTTCCTAGTAAGCTGATAGAGTTCCTTCAGCAACCCTCGTTCTGAACCACTAAGTCAGGTGGTCAATCTTACCGTCAGATTAGAGACCAAGACTCATTGTTTCAGAGGGATCAAGTACACGTCCTAGCATCCTACCTGCTCTGAGGCTTCAGATATGTACACGTCCTAGCATTCTAAATGCTTTGAGGCTTCAGTTAAGTACACGTCCTAACAACAAACAACTCATACTAGTAATAAATTTTTCGTATGTCCTGATGAAGGTACATTTCAGGTCTAGTTCATTTTCACGTAAGAATTAATTTTTCGCAGTATATCTTTGTAAGTAAATTTGCTCTAGGTGATCAACACGCAAAACTAAATGGCGCTAACTTTATAGAGTTTTCAGAATGCAAAGTTTGGCTGTCATACAATTTATGAGATGTTTACGCTGGGCATCGATTCAGCAGAGGAGCGCGGAGCCTTCTGCCCTCACCTATAATGTAGCAGAGGAGCGCGGAGCCTTCTGCCCTCACCTATAATGTAGCGGAGGAGCGCGGGGCTTTCTGCCCTCACCTATAATGTAGCAGAGGAGCGCAGAGCCTTCTGCCCTCACCTATAATGTAGCGGAGGAGCGCGGGCTTTCTCCCCCCCCCTTTTATTGTAGCGGAGGACCCGGGGGGGCCTTCTCCCCCCAAACCTATATTGTAGGGAGAAGGGGGGGGGCCCTTCTGCCCTCCCCTATAATTTTAGCGGGGAGCGTGGGGGCTTTTTTTGCCCCCCCCCACCTATAATGTAGCGGAGGAGCGCGGGGTTTTCCCGGGCCCTTCCAACCTAAAATGAAAGGGAGGAGCCCCGGGGCTTTCTGCCCTAAATTATTGGACGGGGAGCGCGGGGCTTTCTGCCCTCACCTATAAGGTAGCGGGGGAAAGCCGGAGCCTTCTCCCCCCAAAAAATAAGGGAGCGGAGGACGCGGGGCTTTCTCCCCCCCCACCAAAATATTGTAGCTGAAACCGGGGTTTTGGGCCCCTTCCCTAAAATGTAGCGGGGGGAGCCGGGGGCCTTTCCCTGCCCTCCCTATAATGTAGCAGATAACGCGGGGGCCTTCTGCCCTCACCTAAAACCCGTAGCGGGAAACGCGGGCCTTCTCCCCTCACCTATAAGTAGCAGGGAGCGCGGAGCCTTCTGCCCTCACCTTAATGAAAGCAGGGGAAAGCGCAGAGCCTTCTGCCCCCCACCTAAAAACATAGCAAGGAACGCGGAGCTTCCCGCCCTCCCCCCTATAACATAGCAGAGGACCGGACCCTTCTGCCCTCAAAATTAAAAGTAGCAGAGGAGCGGGGGCCCTTTCCCTGCCCTCACCTAAAATGTAGCAGAGGGGTGCGGGGCCCTTCTGGCCTCCCCTATAACTTGCAGAGGAGCGCGGAGCCTTTTTCCCTACCTTTAAATTTTGCGAGGAGTGCAGACCCTTCGGGCCCTCACCTATAACAAAGCAGGGGAGCCGGACCCCTTCGGCCCTCACCTATAATTTTAGCAGAGGATGCGGAGCCTTTGCCCTCACCTTTTAACATAGCAGAGGAGCGCGGACCCTTTTCTGCCCAAAACCATAAGAAAGCAAAAGGAGGCGGAGCCTTCGGGCCCTAAACCCTTTTAATTTGTAGCGGAGGACCGCGGGGGGGCCCTTTTTGCCCTCGCCTAAAAAGTAGCAGAGGAGCGCGGACCCTTTCTGCCCACCTAAATGTAGAAGGGGGGCGGGGGAGCCTTTGCCCTCACCTAAAATTAGGGGAGGAGCGCGGACCCTTCTCCCCTCCCCTAAAACCCCTAGCAAAAGGAGCGGGGACCCCTTCTGCCCTCCCCATAATGTAGCAGGGAGCGGGGGCCCTTTTCTCCCCTAAACCTTTAAAATTGTAGTGGAGGAGCCGGAGCCTTCTGCCCTCCCCTTTTAATGTAGCAGAGGGAGCGGGGGAGCCTTCTGCCCTCCCCCCTTAAGGGTAGCAGGGGGAGCACGGACCTTCTGCCCTCACCTTAATTAGCAGAGGAGGGGCGGGCCTTTCTCCCCTCCCCCTTTAAATGAAAAGCAGGGGAAACGCGGAGCCTTCCCCCCTCACCTATAAGGGTAGCAGAGGGGCGGGACCTTTTTCCCTCACCAAATAATGTACAAGGAGCGGGGGCCCTTTCTGCCCTCACCATAATGTAGCGGAGGAGGGGGGGGCTTTCTGCCCCCCCCTTTAATTGGAGCGGAGGAGCGGGGGGCCTTTCTGCCCTCACCTATAATGTAGCGGAGGAGCGCGGAGCCCTCTGCCCTCACCTTTTAATGTAGGGGGGGGGAGCCGGGGCTTTCTGCCCTCACCTATAATGTAGCAGGGGACCCGCGGGGCTTTTTTGCCCCCCCCCTAAAATTGGAGCGGAGGAGCGGGGGGATTTCTGCCTTCACCTAAAAATGTAGGGGAGGACGCGGACCCCTTTCCCTGCCCTCCCCTTTAAAATGGTACGGGGGAGCCGGGGCTTTCGGGCCCCCACCAATATTGTAGGGGAAAAAGCAGGGGTTTTTTTGGGACCCTCCCTAAAAAGGGTGGGGGCGGAGGAGCGCGGAGCCTTCTGCCCTCACCTTTAAAAAGGGTAGCAGAGGAGCGCGGGGGCCTTTTTCCCTCCCCCTTTTAACGAGCAGAGGAACGCGGACCCTTTCCCCCTCACCAATAAGTAAAAGAGGAGCGAAAGGGGCCTTTTCTGCCCTCCCTATAACGTAGCAAAAGGGGGCGCGGAGCCTTCTGCCCTCCCTATAATCCCAGCGAGGACGCGTAGCCTTTTTGCCCTCCCCTAAAAAGTAGCGGAGGAGCGTGGAGCCTTCTGCCCTCACCTATAAATGCAGCAGGGGACGCGGAGCCTTTCCCCTAAACCAAAAATGTAGGGGGAGGTGGGCCTTCTGCCCCCGCCTATAATTAGAAAGGGACCCGGGGGAACCCTTTCTGCCCTCACCTATAATGTAGCAGGGGAGCGCGGGGGCCTTCTGCCCCCCACCTTTAATTTTGCAGGGGAGCGCAAGCCTTCGGGCCCTCCCCTAAAAATGTAGAAAGAGGAGCGCGGGTTCTTCTCCCCTCCCTAAAATTGTAGCAGAGGACCCCGCGGAGCCTTCTGCCCCCCCTAAAATTTTTGCAGAGGAGCGCAGAGCCTTCTGCCCCAAACCTATATTGTAGGGGGAGGGGGGCGGGGCCTTCGTTTTCCCCCTATATTGTAGTGGAGGAGTGCGGGGCCTTCTGCTCCCACCTTTATTGTTTGGAGGAGCGGGGGGGCCTTTTTTGTTTCCCACCTATATTGTAGTGGAGGAGCGGGGGGGCCCTTCTCCCTCACCTATAATGTAGCGGAGGAGCGCGGGACCTTTCCTGCCCTCACCAAAATGAAGCAGAGGACGCGGACCCTTTTCTCCCCTCCCCAATAATGTATGGGGAGGGGGGGCCGACCCCTTTCTGCCCTCACCTAAAATGTGCAGGGGGAGCGGGGACCCTTTTCTCCCCTTTCCCCCAATAATGTGGGCCGAGGGAGCGGGAAGCCCCCCTCCCCCTAAACCCATAATGTCCGGGGAGCGGGGACCCTTTGCCCTCACCTAAAATTGTAGCAGAGGAGCACAGACCCTTCTCCCTCCCTATAATGTAGCAAGGAGG